TCCCCGCTGCACTGCTCACTGTCCCCCTGGCCCAAGCCGGTGTCTCCACCATGAATCTCTAACAGAGCCACCCCCTGGCCTGTGGCACCTTCTCCCCTGCAAGGTCTCCCTGTGCGATCCCCTGAGACCAGAGCCCCACCCACCAGCACCCTGATGCCAGCGGCCCCGTTACCACTGCCACCTGCTGCCATCCATTTCTCTCTCTGTGTCCCTGCCTCAGGCGACTCTCACGTGGCTGACACAGACCTGCCATGTCCTGCTTCCTGCCTCCTCGCTCTGTGTCTCTTGCTGCTGATATTAAGGGTCGTGGAGCTCCTGGGACCCTGTACTGCTGGCATGACTGTTGACGATCTAACCTGTGGATGGCAGTTGCTGTGATATTCATGGTCACGCTGCTCAGTGCTCCTCCGCGGAGGCCAGTGTGGCCCAGGGAGCCCGCAGGAGCTTCTAGAATGGCTGCAGGTGTAACTGACAGGGAGCACAGCACACTGCTCTGATGCGTTCCTTCCATTCCCATTCATCCCTGCGCCGCCTAAGAATGGGGACCTTCTAAGAAATGGGTGCTTCTGCGCCTTTGATGTGTGAACATCATGGTCCCTGACACCCAGAGGGCCTAGCCCAGTGCTGGGCGGAGGCTGCATGGACCCCGCACCAGGTGGTCCCCATTTGGATGCCTTCTTAGGTTCTTGCAGGGGCTTCTGGATCCAACCCCAGTATGGGGCTTGCAGGAGTCAGCCATTCGATGTTTCCATCTCTCTCTCCCCCTTACTCTCTCTAGTAATCAATAAAAACATTTTTAAAACAAACAAAAACCCCAGCTCTCCTGATGCTCACAGTGCGACAGGAAGGACAGGAACTGATGGGAACGCGCACAGCAGTGACTCACATGGGCTGTGCTCCCGACATCTGTGGCCGGAAACCACAATCCCACAGTCACAGCCTTTCCTCCTCCTGCTCTGCGGGCTGACTGCGCTCAGGGGCCCCCCTTCTGCTCTGTATGACACAGGCTGGGGCGGGGGTCATTGGAGGCCAATGACCTCTGGCCGTGACGAGCCTGAGTAGGGGTCGGGGTCAAGGTCGGAGTTGGGAGCGGGGCTGAGGGGACGCCAGGGGCTCCCGAGGCAGCAGCGGGGACATGGGTTTCCCTGCCCCTTCCTGGGCCCCGGGACGCAG